ACAAAGTCAGTCTGAACTGCAAGGTTGGTGGTTCAAACTCACCAGCTGCTGCTGGGAAATCCTACACAGGGTCACTATGAGTCAGAAAAGACTTGAAAGCGCTTAACAACAACAACATATATGAGAGCTAACTGATAAGAGCTGAAATGAAGAAAATTATTATTATTAATCTTGTAGCCTATCATCTTGCTCAACTCTTATTACTGTGATAAGGTTTCTGCTGACTCATAATTTTTTTAAAAAGTTGTCATCTGAATATAATTGATGATCAGATATCTTGAGACATCAAATGACATCCCTCTCAAAACAACTTGGCAATATTTACCAGGAGTATTAAAAACATTTATAATCCCAGCACAAATAATTTCTTCCCCACGATTTATCCTAAAAAATGCAATTAGAAATTTATATACAAAACCGTTCACCAATATTTTATAAACTAGGGTGAGGAAAAAAACTAGAAACAGGCAAACAGTTTTTAAAAACTTATAGCACATTTTTATAACAAGCTATTACTGTAGCCATCAGAAGCCAACTTAACAACATGGAAAATATTCAGCATACACTGTTAAGATTAAAACTCAGAACACGCAACTACATTTTTATCATGATCTGACACGTGCAAATATATTAAAAAATACGTTAGACAAAAAAGAAAGATGGCTGCTTATGGATAAAGTTGCCCCAAATTCCATCCAAATACTTAAGTATTCTTCATATCAAGGATCAAGCATGCCTCTGCGGTATACTGGGTTGATAAGGATGAGCAACTTAAACACTGGCTATCAAAACTGGGGAGCTATAAAGACATGAAGTAGCTGGCTAACAAGCTTTCATGAGGGTGCTTAGGGTCAGAAAGTTTTCCTCTTATCCAGATGGGTCCTGTTGATGAAGGGGATAGGATTTTATGATTCAATTGTGAGTAACTGTTATCAGGTCTAATGGTAATTGTTACAAGTGTAAATGTAGAAGAGGTATAACTAAAAGGGAGGAGCAGTTACTCTCTCATTTCAGGAACAGAGGACTCTAGACCCATCAAGAAGGAAGAAAGAGAGAGCCTAACCATAAAAGCAGTGACAACAGAGATGGTGGCAGAGGTGATGGAAGAGCGAGAGAGAATATCAGGTGATCATAGGCCAATGGTCTGAGTGGCAGTGTGGCTGTGGGAAGGAAACTGGATTGCAAAATGTGCCTTTTACACACTTAAACAAATATATATTTTCAGTGTGGTATGTGTGTATCAAAAAAGAAAAAAAAAAGGCAATACAGGTAAACACTGTTGGTTGAGACTGCATGGAGGGGACTGTAATCACTACAATGATTTGTTGAATATAAAACTGATAATCTGCCCTGTAAATCTCACTCACTCAATACATAATAAAAGCTTTAAGAAAGAAAGATGGGAAAGACATTAAAATATGAATGTAATTTTCTATTCTGAGAGCTTTAAAAACTTTTTAGAATCTCTAATTACACTTTTTTCAATCACAACCTTCAAGTAAACATTTCTCATATTTTATTTATATTACTTTATTATGCTCTTTTCGACTTTGTACCCTTCTGTTGTTTCAAAATGCAATGTATGCATACTTTTTACAATAAAAACTGTTATCAAAAATTGTTTTAATAAAAAAAAAATCACTAAGTTCTAGTTTTAATGTGTCAACATTCTTTATTCAGTACATAGAAAACAATTCTAATATCAAGGTATATATTCTAAATGGATGGTGCTATCATACATACACATTCAAAATCAATTTCTCTATGAAGTCAGAAAGGAATCTGAGTCATTTATTATAAGTCATCGCACAAAACAGAAATTGGCAGTAACTTTTTTTTTATGTTTGTAAGCTCCAAATCTTGATATTACTATTTATTTCAGTACACATCATTATGCTCACTATATAGTATAATAGGAGGAACAAAACTAGAAAACACTAACACCTTCCACAAGTACGTAAGTGCATTTTATTAGATAAATCTATTTTCTATAAATAGGTTGAAGAAATATAGTCCTTTATGTGATAAGGGATAAAGATAAAATATCTTCCATTACTATTTAAAGATCAGGAAAAGAGGTGGCTTCATAAGGAAGAGAAAAACAGCTTGTGAAAAAAATTCACAAAGTTAAAACTATTGACAGCACCAAAGTACGTATCAGTTTATCTCTAATTAATTAATTTCAGGTAAGGATCCAAACAATTAATGGGCTAAATACAGTCTTAAAAAAATAATCTTCCAGGTACTAGAACTACCTGAAAAAGAGTTCAGGAGAATATTTAGGTACTTCCATAACATTGACAAGATCAAGGAAACCAAGGAAATATTCATTAAAGTGCTATAGGAATAATCAAACAAAATAAAGGAATGGAGAGAATACAAAACCTACAAACAGAAATCCAGAAGATTGGATTTGTTAAAAGGGGAGTTAGAATTTGCCCTTAGAAACGGCATCTGTTAAGTCTTTGTACAGTATGTGCCGTGGTGTCAGATGCGATTCATAGCGACCCTGTACAGGGTTTCTGAGTCTGTAAATCTTTACATTAGCAGAAAGCCTCATCTTTCTCCCTCGGAACAGCTAGTAGTTTTGAACTGCTGACCTTGTGATTCGCAGCCCAATTTGTAACCACAACGCTACCAGAGCACCTTATCTGTTGTTGCTCCTTATAGCATAGTGGAAATAATTTGTTGATTTAGATAAAACAAACGTCTATGTCACATATATCATTAAATAAAGTTATTTCTTATTATTTTGTTACAATTAAAACAATATTTACGTCTTAAAAAGGCAATCACATGAGTTATAAAGAAAATATATAAATAAAAGGACTATCTGAATTTGTAAAGGTAGAAGTTTTGTAACAAAAACAGGGGAGTAGTTACTCTTACAGTCTAGGAACAGAGGACCCTAGGACCATCAAAGGAGAAGAGCATGAACAGAATGTGGGACCCTAACCAAAGTAGCAATGACACCAGAGATGGAGATAGAGATGATGACATGGAGAAATAGAGCAGCTGAGGACTCTAGCATAATGGAAAGAGAAAAAAGCTGTGTGTTGGCAGCCAGGAGGTAGGCTTGCAGATTGTACCTTTTGGTTGTTTAAATTATATATTCCTGAATGTTTTGTGTACCCCCACCCAAAAAAACCCACAAAAAACCCAAAAATGAGGGAATAGAAGCAAGAAATACTGTTGAATGATGATGCACAGAAGAGACTATAATCACTGCAATGAAATGAGTGAAAAACACATGTTCTCCCATGTAAACTATCATTCAATTCACAAGGAAAACTTCAAAAAAAAAAATTATTCATAGGCAAAAAAACCCCACAAAACAACAAACAAAAAAAGGCTACCAGATATGAACCATGACAGTTTTTAGAAACTGAGCAATTCCCTGGAGGGCCCTTATGTTGTTGTTGTTGTGAAGTGCTGTGGAGTCAGTTCCGACTCATAGTGGTTCTGGTACAGGGTTTCTGAGGCTGGCAATCTTTACGGGAGCAGAAAACCTCATCTTTCTCCTGTGGAGCGGCTGGTAGCTTCAAAACTGCTGACCTTGCGGCTCACAGCCCGATTCATAACCACTACGCTACCATAGCACCTTATACATGTGTATATTATTTATGTGGACATGTTATATGAAAAAAATATGGAGTGTGTGTTTTTTTACACAATCCAGTCATTTCAAACATATAAGTCTTGTAGTATTGTGGTGGCTCACGTATTTTCATGATGCCAGATGTTATACCACTGATATTTCAAACACTATCAGGGTCACCTATGATAGACAGGTTTCAGTAGCGCTCCCAAAATAAAATGGATTAAGAAAGGTCTAGAAATCTACTTGCAAATACTAGCCAGTGAACTGCAACAGAACACAGTCCAACTAATTTGCTCTGGACACATCATCAAAAGGGATTAACTGATACAAGACGACATCATGCTTCGTGAAACAGATGGTCAAGGAGACCTTCACTGACATGTAATGGCACAATAGCTGCAACAATGGATTCAAATGTTTTGGCCATAGGGAGGATGACTCAGGAATGAGTAACATTTCATTCTGTTATATATAAGGTCTAGCGTGAGTCATAGTAGATTTGACTGCAACTAACAACAAATAAAGTATTTCCTAATTAACAAAAACAACATATGCTTACACCATTTGTTGGAAGGATCATCTTTTAATTTATATTTTAGAAACTGTTTATGAAGAATGGAATCTGTATACTTCATAAAATATTACATACTGTCTCGTTCACCTCTACACCTTTAAACAAAATTAGTTAAAACTACGAAAATTTTTTAAAAGTATAGACTGTCCCTTCTTTTGACATTCACCAGTTACATAAAAGTATTGCAAAGACTCTTAATGAAACCATCAAAAAGAACTCTGTATGCATATCAATCACTGAGTTTAGAGAAGGGACTCTTAAGGACCCCTACTTTAGAACAATCGTATGTCACTAGTTACAGAAATGTGTGTTCTTAAACCTTTTTCCATGTCATTTATATTTAACATTTTGTAAAGGGGTATGTGTCTGCCAGTGTTGTTAATACAAAGGGAAGAAAGAGCAATAAAAGAGAAAGGTGGATTATGAGATGCAGCTATACATGTTTGTGTCAGAATAGGAATATATTTGATGTTTAAAATATTTAACTCCAAGCTACTGAGGTGTAAAAACAGAATTATTGTCATAACTGAAATATAACAAAAGATTTGATGTAATTTTACTAAGGTATTGAAATACTCTACTTTTGAGAAAAATAACTGCACTAGCATAAATATATAATATCCATTCATAGAAAATTTATGTTGAGATTTATGCTGAAACACTACCACATAATTCAAAGATCATTATTAATGCTTCCTTTGACAAAAAAAAAAATAAGCTTTAATGAGTGCAAATACAATGGATATTTTTCAAAACATAGAAATAATCAAGATTTGATACTTTATTTCTATATCCATGCTCTAATTTCATCAATATTGAGCTTACCTTTCTTTTCGGTCCAGATTGCTTAAAATATAAAAAAGAAAAAAGAAGTAAGAGGAAAGACCTCATTGTTGCTATATCATTGCATCTTTAGTAGTAACAGCAGTCAGAAAGGTGATCAATTTGTTCGAAACACAGTATATACATGTTATATACAATGTTCGGCAATATACAAAATAGTTTATATTTAAGTGCTATACCATACACTAACAAGAAAGAACAAGCATAAAACTATGAAACATTAATGAAAGGTTTTAATGATAAAACATTTAGCGTTTTTGTGTTTACTAGATTTTAACTACAAAATACATTAAATATTAGTGGTTCCAATACTATGACAGGCATGATTATTTGCTTTTGAGTAAGAGAAAAAGGTTTTAATGCTAAAATGTTTACCAAAAGTCTTAGATTAAGTAAATGCTTTGGAACATAAAAAAGGCCTGAAGTTTAAAACCACAGTTCCTTACTATGAAGTTTAAATTATAAAAGCTTTGCCTGAGAATTCTCCATAATTCAAACAAAGTTTAAAAAGCTACTACCTATCAATTACTCAAGAATAAAATTATATAAACCCTAAATTCAGACTAAAACAAGATTCATTCTATAAAATTATTCCTCTACTAAAAACAACTAAATTAGCAGAGCATTACTGACAAAATCACATTCTCATACTCTTGAATTTCTCCTATAATGTAGAACACACGAGGAAATAATGATTTAATCCCAGTAAACTAGGAAAAAATAAATGTGTAACTTACTTTTATGTAACACTCAAAAGAAACATTTTAAACAAAGCAACTTTCTTTCATTTGAAATTTTAACTTTACATATACAAAATATATTATTTATAAATTATAGAACATGCTATGAGACTAATTTTACATCTCTATAAAGTACGTGAAATGAAATAGAAGCATAAAAAATTTAAATAGTCTATCTTATCATATATATTTATTTCTTATGTAGCTATACTTCCAGTAAAATAAAATGAAAATGAAAAGGTAGGCATTAATACCTAATCTACGCATTCTCAATGCTATATATAGTTCTGTTCCCAAAGAGTGAAGAGTTTAAAACACTGGAGTTTGTTTTGTTTTTTGAGCCCACCCATATAGAGGAAAGAGAAGAGGTAGAGAATATAGTAGAGGTAGAAGGAAAAGTTTGGTTCCTCCCCACAAAATCAACAAGAAAAGCAAGCAAAAACATATATTCAATCATGCTCATTTTTCTTATCCTGAGTGTGATAGTTTAAGGTTTTGTGTCAACTTGGCTGGGTCTGGATATCTACCTGCTTGGTACTTAGACATAGTAATCCCCTTAAGATGAGTGATCCAATATAATGTAATCACCTCCTCTATGATGTGGTAAGTCCTAATATGATGCAATTATTCTCTATGTTGCAAAACCTCACTTCTACTATGTTAATGAGGGCTGGATGCAAGCTACAGGATTAGGTTGTATATTGAATTCATCTTTTTTGTGATATAAGAGAGATTTAACAAGCTAGCAGAGCTCAGAGGGACCTCCTACTGTAAAGAAAGAAGAGCCAGGAGCAGAGTATATCCTTTGGATCTGGGCGTGCCTGTACTGTGAAGCTCTTTGTTTTAGATGAAGATCTTCAAGAAATGCTGGGTCTATAGATGCTGAAAATGAGATAAGAACCTTTCTCCAAAGCCAGTGCTCTGAATTTGGACTTCTAGACTCTAAATTGTGAGAAAATAAATTTGTTTGGTAAAGGCATCTACTTGAGGTATTTCTGCTATAGCAGCACTAGATAACTAAGACACTGAGAAAAATAAATTTACTGCAATATGATACCTAAGTTTAAGTATGTTTTATTATCAAGTTTTGCTGTTTTTGCTGTTGTTAAATGCCATTGCATCAGCTTGGATTCACAGTGACCCTATAAAGGGTATCCAAGGCTGTAAATCTTTGTTGGAGCAGAAAGCCTCATCTTTCTCCTGTGGAGTAGCTGGGGCACTTGTACTGCCAACCTTTTGGTTCACAGTTCATTGCTTATCCTATGGAGTCACCATTAACAATGTGGTGGTGGTGTTAACTGCCATCAAGTCAGTTCCAACTCATAGCAACTCTGTATAGGGTTTTGAAGGACTGGTTGGTGGGTATGAATTGAACTTGTGGTTAGCACTCCAGTGCTTATCCTATAGCACTACACCATGACTCTTTTTAGTAATGTGAGATTTTGCAAAAACGTCAGCTTATATTCTTCTTGAGTTATATTTCATACAAAGCAGAAAATAAAAATTACTGTGACCTAAAGCTGTACTAGTGCTGAGAAAATATTGGTTGATTCTTGTATTTGTGACCTCATTAAGACTAATGTTTTTTAACGTTAGCTTTCATTTATTAAATCTTATTTCAGAAGTCCACTTTCCCATTTATGGATTATATATGCTTTTGCAGATTTTTATTTTACTCTATGCATGGTGCTTATAGTCTTTTCCCCTATCCTTAATGAAAAGAGGGGGGGGATAAAAGTACCTGAAAGAAATATAAATTAAATTTAAATCAGTAAAATGTAGCGTTTGAACACATCTGATTAAAACTAGGGTAGAAAAGTATAGTTATACAGCTTTTTTTAATGTCTCCATTTTATTTTCTATACTAGTAAGATTCCTCCATCACTACATGGTATATAAGCAATCAATATTTTAAATACGAATTAAACTAGCATTTAGGCTAACATTATGGGAAAAGATGGTATTTTAATAGTCTCTCAAATCTCAATAGCTAACATGACCTGGTATTTTAGTAATCTTCATTCACTCCTATTAGATATACAGGTGTGAAGCACTTGTTCCCATTATTTTACTGAAGAGCTACAAACTACTCAGCAGGAAGGTGTAAATTACATAGAATACAAATAATAGAATTCACACGCAAAACAAAACAAAACAACCCACAACAGACTGGATATATGAATTATCCACTGGTATTATTTAATTTCAAATTAATAGTTGAGAAAAGAAATCAGGAAGAAAAAGCTGCAAAGCCAGTATATTCACTTTCATCTGCTACTGTTAAGTGCCTTTGAATAGGTTCCAACACTACACTAATTAAAGTCAAAAACTTGGTATCAGCCATCTTGATGAAGGCTTTCCTCATGCTTTGTTCTTCTTGTTAAGTGCCGTGGAGTCGGTTTCCGACTCATAGTGACCCTGTACGGGGGTTTCCAAGGCTGTAAATGTTTACGGGAGCAGAACACCTCATCTTTCTTCCGCGGAACAGCTGGTAATTTTGAACTGCTGACCTGCGGTTCGCAGCCCAATTCGTAACCACTACGCTACCAGAGCTCCTTTCCTCATGCTTTAGACAATGTGATTTCTAAGCTTACAGCATGCTCAAATACTCATGTAATACTTCGAGTTATTCTCTGCTCCCTTCGCTGTGATATTACTACATACTACACACTGTATGCCAAAGGGACTTCAAAGATTTCCATTACCATTTCAACTTCCCCTAAACTTTCATCTACTAATACTTACCATGTAACCATTTGTTTACTTGTCTTTCTAGCCTCTATCCTAATTGATCTTGAGCTCCAAAGGAAGGGATTTTGTTACATTCATCTATGCCTGGAGTCCTGATGTAGTGCTATAGGATAAGCACTGAACTGCTAACCACAAGATCTGCGGCTCAAACCAACCAGTCACTCCTTAAAAGTCCTCTACAATGTTGCTATAAGTCAGAACAAACACAACAGCATTTAACAATAACAACAACATCTATGCTTGGTATGTAACAAAGTCACTCAATAGTTTTGGAAGAAGAAAATGGAAAGCCTCTCGTAACTGGTCTTTCAACTTCAAAATCTTTTTGTTGTTAAGTGCCATGGAGTCGGTTCCGACCCATAGCGACCCTGTACATGATTTCCGAGGGTGTAAATCTTTATAGGAGTAGAAAGCCTCATCTTTCTCCTGCGGAGCGGCTGGTAGTTTCGAACTGCTGACCTTAAGGTTTGTAGCCCGATTCGTAACCACTATGCTACCAGAGCTCCTTAAAAACTTTTTAGTGACGGTTAAACTTCACTAAGAATAAGAAATGCTAATTCTTATATAGAGGCCTGGTATGACGGTATAGAACAAGTACTACCAGCAAGCAAGGACAGAAGTTCAAAGCCCTCAGCCACTTCTGGAAACCCTATACAGGGCTGTTATGATTTGGAACCGACTTGGTGGCACACAACATTCTTACACAGAATAAATAAATAAACAAACAGTAAGTAGAACCTGCCTGGCTGACCTGACACTGGACTCTAATTTATTTTACTGTCCCCAGAGAACTGTTCCTATATTTTCATCAGGATTGTTTCTTTAAATACAAGTTAAAAATTTAGGTTGGGGCTGTGTTCTTTAACAGACAATATTTTACTAGTAAATACTAGTTTTTATTAACTAAGTCTAATCTTTTATGATGCTAAGTGATGATATACATTAAGACATGATAGAGATGCAGAGACCCAGAATTAAATAAAACAATGACTAATACCCAACCCATAATCAGTTTTTTTGAAGCATGGCAGCTCTGTCAGATAAGCAGTGGACTGTGTATCACAAGGTCAATGGTTTGAAACCACCAACCACTCCGCGAGAGAAAGATGAGGCTTTCTGTTTCCACGAAGATCTTCCACCTTGGAAACCCTATACAGGATAGCTATGAGTTGGAATCAACTCAAGGCACTTAAAAACAACAATAATAAACAGTTTTTTAAACTTAATAACAGATTCCAGTATAAATAATTCTAAACTAATATAATTTTGGTTGTAAAAAGTATCACTTAACTTGGTTGTAAATTTTAAAGTTGTGTTTCACCTTAACATTTTCAGAATATTAAGAAATTTTATCATCAATGAATGACTGGTGAATGATCAGTCTAATCAGTATCTGAGAAAGAAGTATGTATGAAAACAGAGGGAATAACCCACAGACTGGGAAAAAATCTTTTGTAACCACATATCAGATAAGGGATTCATTTCTAAAATATATAAGAAAATACAACACATCTACAAAAATAAGACAACCCAATTAAGAAATGGGCACAGGACATGAACAGACACTTCACCAAGGAGGAGATCCAGGCAACCAACAAACATATGAAGAAATGTTCATGATCACTAGCCATTAGAAAGATGCAAATCAAAACAACAATAAGATATCATCTCACACCAGCAATAACAGCAAAGATCAAAAAAGCTGAGAACAATAAATGCTGGTGGGGATGTGGCGAGACTGAGACACGCCTGCATTGCTGGTGGGACTGCAAAATGGTCCAACCTCTCTGGAAAGCAATATGGCATTTCCTCAGAAGGTTGGAAATAGAAATACCTTAAGATCCAGCAATTCCTCTACTTGGTATTTACCCACAAGAAATACGAGCCATAACATGAGTAGATATATGCACACCAACGTTCATAGCAGCACTATTTACAACAGCAAAGAGATGGAGACAGCCAAAGGGCCCATCAACTAAAGAATGGATAAACAAATTGTGGTACATACACAATGGAATATTATGCTACTTTGAAGAATAACAAGGAAGTTACAAACCACCATTAAACATGGATGAACCTTGAGGACATTATGTTGAGTGAAATTAGTCAGTCACAAAAGGAGAAATACTGCATAGGACCACTACTGTAAAAGACAAAGACAAAGAACTCATACTAAAGCAGGGTGGGGGGGATTCTCTGCTGGTTGCTGGGATTTGGGGGGTGTGGTGAGGGGAGGGATGGAAAAGTAGAGCACAGGGCAGGGACTAACCACAGGATAGTTTGGGTGCTGGGGAGGGGGGCAATATACAAAAAGGGAGAGGGGAATGGAAGAACAAAGTGGAATGGAGAACAAGTAGGCAGGTTTGCATGGGCTAAGTGGGACAGAGGAAAATAATGATGTATGCAAAACCTTGGAACAACAGGGCTCTGGAGTACACGGATTGAGACATCATTGGAATAGGGATAAGGGGGGAAATAATGTTAAGATTCTTGGCTGTCTTCTGAATCTTGGTTTTCCTTACATTACATTATAAAATAGACACTGGAAGGGGAGAGAAAGGAAGAGCCAGAAATATCACCATAGAAAGCTTGTAAGTCCATCTTCTGCCTATAACTGATTGGAATACCTAAAATGGGGATACAATGTGCCCAGTGAAAGAGGCTTCCTGCAGAGCCTCTGTATTACATAAGACTACAGGTGTAATCCTGAACAGCATCCAGAATCTCCAGAGGTAGGAGACTTCCCCCTGAGAGGACGGGCAGACCAGCCTGGAGTGGCTAGAAGAACAGGAAAAATACAAAATAGAGGCAGACCGACTGATTACTACAAGAACAAGCAAGTAGCCCGCCCAGGAGACATCAAGGCAAGGGGTCGGGTTGCCTCAGAGTAAACCCCCTTTCAAAACTAAGACTCAATGGGAATACACACTCTGATTGGTGACCACATTCACCACCAACAAGGGGAAGTGAGGGAAAAACAGCTATGAGGCTGCAAGCTAAGCCCTACAACATTCAATAGACTCCTGTGAACCTAGGTGGAGACCTGGTTGGCCAGCAGTGTGGCAAGACCTGGGGACTCTTGGGCCCAGAGTCAGCAACATAGTCACAGAGGCTGGAGTGGAGAGCGAAGTGTCCAGAATATAAGAAGAGAGGGCCTATCCACAAGAGCACCCACACTTGCAGATAATACCCACTTGACCTGGCTTCAATGACTGGAGCACAACTAGAAGAAGAAAGAAGAAGAAAAAAAGAGTAACCTGATACAATTTGATGAACTTGACCTACACCTATGGATGCAGCAACTCAAAAGAGGGAACAAATCTTCACAGCAAGGATCACTCCCACTCCACCCGCTCCATACAGAGTGGACAGGGATGGGCAACTTGGACATTGGCTACCCAAAATGCGGGACGACAAAGGCAAGAAGTGACTGGCTTACAAGTTTTCAAGAGGGAACCTAGATCCAGAGGGCATGGAGGAAGGCAGAATCTCCACTGAGTAGTATCCAATCTGTCTAGGTGGGACTGATGAAAGGAAATGCGGATACATCTCATGTGATACAGGGTGAATAATTGTTACCAGGACTGATTGTGAAGGTTGTAAATGTAAAGGTAAAATTTTGTGGCAAGGAGGGGAGACGATGACATGGAGAGATGGAGCAGCTGGAGCCTCGGGACCCAGGGAGGGAGAGGAGCAGGCTTGTAGGACATAACCTTTTTCGTTGATTGGTGATGTGTGGAGGGGACTGTAACCATGGCAATGAAACAATATACAATAGGATGAATTTAAAACTAATGTTCTCCCATGCAAACTATCACATAATTCACAATAAAACTTTTAAAAAAAAAACCAACTGAGGGAATAGAAGCAAATACTGTTGAATGATGATGCATGGATGAAATTGTAATCATTGCAATGAAACAATGAGTGTAAAACTGATGTTCTCCTTTGTAAACAAACTATCACTCAAGTCACTATAAAACTTAAAAAAAAAAAGACATATGTATGTCTTCCCTTCTCCCCTCCCCCTAACTAACCTCCTTTTATAATTTATTCTTATAAAGATAGATGGATTTGTCTGTGAGCTTTGCAGTAGGTCAGTCTTTTTTTTTTAATATATGCACTAACCTCTGAGATTTTATGACTTTTCTCAAACTACATGGAAATTATGATATAATAACATAATAAATCTAAACAAAGGTTTTGTCATCCTAAAATCTAAGAAAGATTGAAGACAGAAATCTATATTTAATAAATCTATGTCATAGCAGCTAAAGCAAAGGTTCTAGAATCAGGACACATTTTCTAAATAACAACCTAGTTTGGTATTTCCAAAGTATAAAACCATTTAAAATATATATTAAAATCTTCAAATTTTACTAGTAATCAAAAAACTTCACCTCAACTACTTATAACATGATAAACAGATTATTTAATTGCTTGAACCTGAGGATTTCTGAGTCAAATGAAAAGGGATATAACATTTCCAAAATGGTTTTAAATACCTCCTAAGTTTTAGATATCTCAAAACATCTAAGACACGAGTTGTTAGCTGCATTATTTCATTCAAGTAGTATTTTTAAGATCAATGAGGACACTCAAATCTATGAAAATTACTGCAATATAAAAATTTCTAAAACATACAAAACCAATAATATGATTTATTTTGACATTATGGAACCCTACAAACTTTATGTGGAAGGTAAGGAAAGTTATGAAATCTATGCCATTTAAATATTTCTTATGTATACTGGAATAGAATGCAATAGATTAGCCTATTTAAAAAAAAAATAAGACTTAACTTACAGCAGAATATAATTTATTAAAAAGTAGAAAATACAATTAATAAAATTGTAGGACACGTATTATTTCATTGACATAAATATCTCTTTACAGATACTGGAAACACAGTGATGTTTCACCCAAAAATAATATTGGTTTAAAAAAAAAAAAAGTGAAAATGTCTATTAAAGAGGATGGTTTTATATTATATATTTAAAAAGAAAACAATTACAATCCTTACCTTTGGGCTGCTGTTTTTACAACGGATATCTGTGCATTAGCATGATGAAAACGTCTACCATGAACTACAGTTCCTGAACATAATGATGCATTTTGTGTATTTTCACTGCAGATTCAAGAAACAAACCAAAAATATTGAACAGAAAAATATTACATACACATATGCATAATACAACCTCTAAATTCTGAGCTCACAAAGACTATTATTTAAAAAAAAAAAAAAAAAAAAAAATTACTTATAAATAACCAAACTAGTTATTTTGAATTCTCCATAAGTTTTTGATTTCTTGAATTTATTTCTGAAATGTTTCTATTCCATTTCAAGAAAGATAAAAAGCAGAACTCTTAAAAAAAAAAACCCACAAAAGCCTGAAATTCTACTTTTAATCTTCTAATTCTGCTACTGACATGTGTTACTTAACCTCAATTATTCATCCATAAATTCAGAGTGCAGAAATAAAATCGTGGTTTTCAACTCTACTTCTGGGAGATTATTAATAGCCCAATCTGATCAGTTACAGTGGTTCACTATGAAAACTTCTGGGAGAGGTGGGTTATGTTTAAAAGAGAAAAGGAAGAAATCTTAACATAAAGTTCCTTGTTGAGATATTCTAAGCCTCTAAAACAGACAAGACCAATGCCATCCTTCTACTATTTTAACTGAGATTTTACTAGCTGTATGAAAATAAGTTTTCATTTTATGAAATCCCAGCTTACTGAAACATATCTTGCAATATATTTTATTTAGAACCAAGAAACTCATTGCAATCAACCCTACTCCCCAAATCCAAAGCAAAACATTCTATGCATTGGTACCACTCTTAGCCCTATTGACAAATTCAATAGACGAATATAGGTTGGGCCTACGGCCACAAAGGTGTCAAACCCTGTATCTTTTGTAGTAATGTGTGGTGAAACACTTACATACCTCAATTTCTTATTGTTGCTCAGCATGTTAAGTCCAACTGGATTGCCTTTCAAAGTTTTAAAGCTTTCAATCTTGTTTTTCCTTACATATGTCTTCAAGATTAATTCACCAGAACCAGCAGCAAGAATTTCAGAGCGACGATTTAACTGTAAAGGATTCATAAATATTAAGTCAATAAACAACACAAAATAAAAATTAATCAACAATAATAACTTTTAAATTAGTAAAATAAATACCAGCTACTGGGGAAGAAGAAGAGGGAATGGCAGTTACATTCAACTGTAATACCTTCTTCTCTGATTCAGTAGTTTTGATTCAGGTTTGAGAATGTGTATTTCTAAAAAGCCCCACGTGGGGGTGGATCAGGGAACACATTTTGTGAATCTCTGAATTAAAGTGATCAGGCTTTAATAGTGGTGCTCCATAAATTAGAAGTAAACTTTTATCCCCATTATTGTTGTTGTTAAGTGCTATTGAGTTGATTCTCACTCACAGCGACCTTGTACAGGGTTTGCAAGAAGCAGTTGGTGGGACTGAAATGCTGACCTTGTGGTTAGCAGTTCAGTGCTTATCCTACAGTGCCACACCAGGGCTTCCTTTAATAATAAAATACAATTGCTTTTGCATTTGACTGACCATTCCCATAGAAAACATACTAATGCTACGGAAATAAATGATTCAGAATTCAAATAGACCTGGTTGGTTCTTTATAATCAGATAACTTTCTATGGAATCTGGGATTTTTTTCTATGCATTAAGAAAGAACATTGAAGAGAGAGAGAGAAGCCACATACAAATTGCCTAGTCAAGAAGGTGGAAATTCAGTGCTATTATTAGCTCTCTCCATTAGAAACTCAGATCTATATGTGAGAAAACTCACAGCACAGTTATCTTTAATCAGAAACACTATAAATTATTTTATCACAAACAAAAGGTCTATTAAACTGAGAAAAATGAGGCCTATCCAAGTCATTGTTGTCTGGGTCCATTCCCAGAAACCAAACTGTTGTTGATGTTAGGAGTCTCAGAGTCAATTCCAACTGATAGCAACCTTATGCATAAAAGAATGAAAAACTGCCTGGTCTTGCGCCATCCTCACAATTGTTAAGCTTGAGCCCACTGCTGTTGCCACTGTGTCAATCCATCTTATTGGGGGGGGGGGTCTTCCTCTTTTCCACTGACCCTCCACTTTACCTAGTAGCAAGATGTCCTTCTCCAGGGACTGGTCTCTCCAGACAATGTGCCTGAAGCATAAGGGACAAAGTCTTGCCATCCTGGCTTCCAAGAAGCATTTTTATTGTACTTCTTCCATCACAGATTTGTTTGTTCTTCTAGCAGTCCAGAGTATTTTAATATTCTTCTCCAATACCATAACTCATATGCATCAATTCTGCTGTGGTCTTCCTCACTGTCCAAATTTCACATGCATGTGACCCTAGAGAAAATACCCTAGCTTTGCTCTTGAACATTTTATAGAGGTCCTGTGTAGCACATGTGCCTAATGTAGTAATGTATCATTTGATTTCTTAACTGCTGCTTCTATGAGTGCTGATGGTGAATCCAAGCAAAATGAAGTTTTTGACCTATTTATTCTTTTTTCCTTTTATCATGATGTTATTCATTGCTCCTGTGGTAAGGATTTTTGTTTTCTTTACATTGAGCTGCAACCCATATTGAGGGCTGTGGTCTTTTATCTTCATCAGTAAATACTTTAAGTCCTCTTCACTTTCACCAAGCAAGCTTTTAATACCTGCATATTGCAGGTTGTTAATGAGTTTTCCTCCATTTCTGATGCCACATTCTTCTTCATATAATTCAGCTTCTTGGATTATCTGCTAAGCATACGACTAAATAAGAATGGTAAATGAATACAACCTGGCACACATCTTTCCTGAATTTAAACCATTCAATGTCTACTTGTTCTTTTCAAACTACTGCCTCTTGGTCTATGTACAGGTTCCTAAAGAGTACAATTTAGTGTTCTGGAATGCGCATTCTCTGCAATGTGGATGGCTTGTCATAATCCACACAGAAATGTCTTTGCACAGTCAATAAAGCCCAGGACGACATCTTTCTGGTCTTCTCTGCTTTCAGTCAACATTCATCTGACTTCAGCAATAATATCTCTAGTTCCACATCCTCATCTGAATCTGGTTTGAACCTCTGGTAGTTTCTTGTCAATTTACTGTTGCAACTGGTTTTTTATTTATCTTTAGCAAAATTTAACTTGAGTGTGATAATGACAAGGTCCGAAGATTTCCACATTCCATTGGGTCACCTCTCTAGGATGGGCACAAATATGGATCTCTTCCAATCAGCTGACCAGACAGCTGTCTTCCAAATTTCTTGGTGTATATATAGGTGAGTGAGTACCTCTAGTGCTGTGTAAGTTACCTGAAATATTTCTATTTGTATTCCCATCAGTTCCTAGAGCCTTGTTCTTTGCCAATGCCTTCAAAGCACCTGGGACTCCTTCCTTCAGTACCATTGGCTCTTAATCATATGCTACCCTTTGAAATGGCTGGACATCAACCATTTCTTTTTGGTACACTGACTGTATATTTCTTCCATCTTCTGTTGATACCTTCCGTATCATTCAATGTTTTGCTGTAACAATCCTTCAGTATTTCAAGTCAAGACTTGAATATTTCCCTCTGTTCTTTCAGCTTGAGAAATGCTGAGTATGCTCTTCCCTTCGGTTTTCTAACTTCAGATTTTTGCACATTTCATTACAATATTTGACTCTGTCTTCGTAAGTCGTCCTTTGAAATTTTTTGTTGAGCTCTTTTACCTCCTCATTTTTTCCATTTCCTTTAGCATCTCTCCACTGGAGAACATGTTTCAGAGTCTCTTCTGACATTGAGATTGGTCTTTTCTTTCTTGTTTGTCTTCTTAATGACTTTTGCTTTTTTCCGTATGATATTCTTGACATCATTCTGAAATTCTTCTGGTTTTGGGTCCTTTGTGTCTAATGCATCCAATCTGTTCCTGAGGTGATCTCTAAATTCATGTATGATATTGTTCCAGGTCAAATTTTGGCTCTGGTGGACTTCTTTTACTTTCCTTTAGCCTGAACTTTCCTAAGAGCAATCGGGGGTCTTATTCCAGTCTGCCCCTGGCCTTGCTTTGGCTGATGATGCTTTGGCTTTTCCGGTCTCTTTCCACAGATAGAATGAATTTGATTTTTGTGTACTCAATCTGGTAAAGTCCATGTGTATAATCATCTTTTATGTTATTTAAAAAAGGTATTTGCAATGAGCAAGTCACTGATCTTGCAAATTCTATCATGTGATCTTTAGCATCATTTCTATCACAAAGGCCATATATCCCAGCTACTAATCCTTTGTCTTTGTTTCCACCATTATTTATCAATGTATCTTGATTGTATATTTGATCAATTTTAGACTGAAGAAGTTGGTAGAATTCTTCAATTTCATCATCACTGGCTTTAGTGGTTGGTGAAGACATTTTAATAATAGTTATACTAACTGGTCTTCTTTGTGTTGTTGTTGTTGTTAAGTGCCATCAAGTTGGTTCCAACCCATAACAACCCTATACAAGGTTTCCAAGAAGCAACTAGTGAGCATGAACCGCTGACTTTGAGGTTCAAGCTGACTTTGCAATCCAACGCATTAATCCACAGTGCCAAACCAAGACTAAACATATGGATGTTATCCAATCACAGACAGCATTATACTTCAAGACAATTCTTGACATGTTCTTTTTAATGACAAATGCAGCACCATTCCTCTTCAATTTGTCACTTTCTGCATAGTAAACCATATGACTGTCAGATTCAAAACAGCCCATTTCAGCTTACTAATGCCTAAGATATTGATGTTTATGCATTCTATTTCATTTTTGACAATTTCCAACTTTCCTAGACTCACACTTTGTACATGTCATGATTCAGTCACTAATGGATGTTTGCAGCTATTTCTCCTCACTCTGAATTGTCCCCCATTAGTAAAAGAAGGTCCCAAAAGCTTTACTCCCTTCGTGTCATCATCTGTCTACTCTACTTGGAGGAGGCAGCTCTTCCCTAGTGGTATTTTGAGTGTCTTCCAATCTGAGTGGCTCATCTTCCAGCACTAAATCGTTGTTGTAGTTTTTATGTACCTTCAAGTTGACTCTGACTCATATCAACCTTGTATGGGGTTTCCAAGGAGCAGCTGGTTGGTTTGAACTGCCAACCTTCTGGTTTGCTGTGCAGTGCTGATCCTACAGCATCACATCAGGAGTTCTATATTAGATAATATTCTTATGCTTGTAGTCATCATGTTTCAGTATCAATATTTTGTTGCTGATAGTATTCACTGCTATGCATAAGATTTTCAGTGGCTAAATATTTGAAAGCAATCTGCTTCTCCTCCTTCCCAGTTTGTCTTAATCTGCAGGTTCAGCTGAAACCTGTCCACCATGGGTGACCCTGACAGCATTCTAAATAATGGTGGCATAGCTTCCAGCACCACAGCAACACACAAGTGACCACAGTGTGACAAACTGATAAACTGACAAGTAGTTGAGAAATCTAATTATAGATGTTGTCATAAGGTCCAGAAATGTGCTCTTTTGAAAAAGTGCCCTAGACCAACCAACAGTTCTCAAAGTGTGGTCCACAGACACCACCTGAGAACACTTTTAAAAAATGTATATTCTCAAGTGCCACTCTAAAAAAAACTCTTATAATGAAATGGACTATGACTCACATAGAGACCCTATGTTGTCATCAGGTACCATCAAGTCAGTTGTGGCTCACAGTGATCCTGTATAGGATTTCCGATGCTGTAACTCTTTACAGTTTAAAAAGTCTCACCGTTTTCCTGAGGAACAGCTGGTGGGTTTGAACTGCCAACCTTGTGGTTAGCAGTCCAAGATTTATCCTATAGTATCGTCAGTGTTCCTTAGAGACACTACAGTATAGAGCAGAACTGCCCCACAAGGTTTAAAGGTTGTACTCTGTATGGAAGTGGACTACCACATCTTTCTCTGGTGGAACAGATGGTGGTTACAAACTGTGACCTTCAGCTTTAATTACTGTGTCTCTAGGACTCCTTAGAACCACTTCAGAACTCCAATATCAGAAAACTCAGGGAATTGGACTCACCAATCGTTTTAATCATTTAGGTGATTCTGATGCAAAGTT